CAAGAGAGAAGTAACACAATGATGTTTTATTGACATTTTGATGTGGGGTGGGTGGGGAAGCGGAGGGGCATTAGAATTGTAGTGTGTTTAGAAGGTTACACCTAAGCAGGGGCAAAAACAAGGGGAAGCTGGGATTGACAAGGACAAATCATACATTTCACAGTGCTGCCGAGGGCAGGTTCTGTTAAGTATAGGTAAGAATAAACCTAAGCTTACCTCTGATGTCTTAATACTTCATATTTGGACTAGTGTAAGAGGGGTGCCCCACACTTCCTTTGTAATATGATGCCCTATACCCTGATATTTCTATCAGGTGAGAAAATATTAGGTTACAGAATCAATCAATAGAAGGTTAGAACAATTCCTAATGAATAATTCAAAGGTATAACCTATGTACGAACAAGTTTGTAATTAATTTGAGAGAAATAGAGTGTTTGAGTACTTGAATGAAAGCAGATTCTGAACATGAAATACTGCGTGACTGATTGAAGAGAATCAGTCATGATCAGGGGGACTTGGATGAAACAACAAGCCAATTTGATTCAGAATACGGAATTAAAATAACAAGTGGTGAAGTGAATCTGGCCAAATCGATGAGAATCACCCACAATCTCACAATCTTTTTTTTTTTAATAATTATATTTTATTTATTTTAACATTCATTAATTTTTTTTTGTAGGCAATTGGGGTTAAGTGTCTTGCCCAGGGTCACACAGCTAGTGTCAAGTGTTCAGTCTGAGGCTGGATTTGAACTCAGGTCCTCCTGACTTCAGGGCCAGTGCTCTATCCACTGCACCACCTAGCTGCCCCGAATCACCCACAATCTTGACCAGAAGACACTTTTGAACTTTGAAAGGTCAGAAGATTTGAACTTACCAATGTTGGTGGCATTGTCCCCAAAACAGCAGTGTTTGCAATAGTAGCTGAGAGGGATCTATGAACAAACTAGACATGGAGCTCAGGAGAGCTGCACCAAAGAGGGACTTCATGAGGATTCTACAAAGGGATGACTGAATAGGAATCTTCACAACAAATAATCATCTTGCCTCTACCTGAGGACTTCCAGTGACCACCCAACAAGGAAGCTCACTCCATTTTTTAATAGCTCTAAAATTGTTTTTCCTTGTCACCTCTGACATACCTTGGCCTCGTGGTCCTTGTCAAGTCACTTAACCTCTTAGTACTCTAATCAACTGTGGAAGACTTTAAATTGCAAAGAGGGTTACCGCCCTGAAAAGGTAGAATGAGTTTCTCCACTGGGAAGGGAATAAGCACACCTACCATGTGCCAGCACCTGTGTTAAGTGCTTTCACAAATATTACCTTATTCAATCTTCATAACAACCCTGCAGGGCAGGTACTGTTATTATTTATTATTTCTTTTTACAGTTGAGGAAACTGAGGCAAACTGATTTAAGTGACTTGCCCAGAGTAACACAGCTAATATCGAAACTCAGGTCTTCCTGATTCCAGGCCCAGCACTCTACCCACTGTGCCACTAGCAGACTCTGGAAATCTCTCTATACCAATGAAATCACGGATGCAGTGTCTATGCCTGTTCCATATAGTGAACCGAAATCTTTGTCCCTGTAACTTCACCTGTTGGCCCTAGCTCCCCTCTCTGTGGCTAGACAGAAAAAATTAATACTCCTCCCTTCTTCAAATACTCGAACAGAGCTAGTCCAGGCAAACAATCTTAGATCCTTCAATAGATCATGACAATGATGGTTCTTAACCTCCTCACCATTTTAATCATTCTCTTCTGGACAAGCTCCAACCTGTCAATACTATAAAATGTTGCACCTAGAAATGGACTATTTCAGATGCGGTCTGAGCAAGGCAGAGTACAGAGGAACGATGACCTCATCATCCTGAACACTGGGCTTCTGTGAGTGCTGTCTGCAGGCCTGGTGGTACTGCCTGCAGTTGCTCTGGTAGGAGCAACGAATGTGGTGGATACAGAATGATGGTGGCTGAAAAGAATTAAGAGCCTCTGTGATTATCTTGGGAGATCAGGCAAGATGGAGTAGAATATAAGCATGGTGGGCTGGGCTCCCTTAATGGCTGCTGCTGGTGCTTTGGATAGACCAGGTCTCAAGTCAGGAAGACCTAAGTTCAAGTTTCCTCAACCATAAAAGGAGATAATAACAGTACCTCTCTCACAGGGTTGTTATGAGGATCAAATGAGACAATACTTGTAAAACGGGCTTAGCATAGAATTTGGCCTATGTTTATTCCCTTATCTGCAGAGGCCAGGCACCTGATCTTTAGAATGAAGAAGACGGCTGCAATGCACTGATGATAACAGTGTTAGACTCTGTGGTCTCAACAAGAGGGCAGTACAAGCTAAACATTTTCCCCTGGTCCCTGCGGCTGGCAGGTGCTTTGTACACAATATTCTTGATTTCTTTAAGCTTTTTCTATTTCCTACAAACCACTATTGGTTCTAAGTGATCTATGACTCATATTTTGTTAATTATCTTGGTGTGTGGGAGTGCTTTGTATATACAGATATGGTCAGAGGTTTATTCATCCATCTAGAATGTTAGGGTTTTTTTCCCTGGGAGGGTGGGGGCTGAGTTTATTGGGAGAGAATCTTATGGTTTTGCCTTATTAATAACTTTTAAAAGCTCCTAAATAGCAGATAACCAATATGATTTGGGACTGCACACTTGCTAGACTAGGAGTTGGTGATGAAGCAGACCAGGTGATTTTTGCTTTAGGAAAGCTTCAGCCTCTAGACAGGGAAGGCTGCAGAGAAGAGGCATAGACCAAGTTAAGACTATTATCTCCTTGCTTAATGAAAAGAGATGGGGTGTCTGGAAAAAATCTGCACTGTCCACATTCCTGCAGTGAGTCCGGAGAGTGCCTCTTCCCTGTTCACTTTCCAGCCTAAACCTCCCAGACCCTGCTAGATACCACCACTTGCTAGTTACACTTGTATTAATAATCTTATGTCACAATGGCTTTTTTTGGCAGCCATTTTAAAGTTTGCTGTCCACTTAAAATTCCCTTGAATTGCTACCTTGTCACGTCATACCACTAGTACTTACACATTCTTACATGTTCCCTCACTGTGAAAGTCCCTTACTCAATTAAAAGCAAATTATAGCCAAGGCAAATACAAAATAATTTTAGGTAGTAGCAGAGTGGTTGATCAGAATATATATATATTTTAGGCTATACATGTACAATCATATTAAACACATTTCCACATTAGTCAGGTTGTGAAAGAAGAATCAGAACAAAAGGGAAAAACCACAAGAAAGAAAAAAATAAACAAAAAGAGAAAATAGTATGCTTCAATCTGCATTCAGACTCCATAGTTCTTTGTGGATAGCATTTTTTATCATGAGTCTTTTGGAATCGTCTTAAATCATTGTATTACTGAGAAGAGTTCAGTCTATCAAAGTTGGTCATTGCACAATGTTGGATCAGAATATCTAAAAAAAAAAATATCGATGGCCTTTCCCAACTTCAAATCTGGTAAACACAGAAGAACATTTTGTTCTCACATTTTCTTCATTTTGCACTATTTCTTGAAACTATTTGGCCAGTAGATGGCAGTGATACACACTAACTTTCCTCGGATGTTCTCCTGAAAAGTCTCACTGAATTGTTCACTTTAGAATCCTCACAGCTTACTCCTACCGCTGGGATCAGAAGTCCTTAAAGTATTTTGCATAGGGGGTAGACATTGTGGTTTTCATTCAATTTCTATAATGTTACATGTTTACAAAAATCTCTCCCCTATTATTCTCTTATGTATGGATTTTTCAGTAGTTCTTAGATACTTTTCCCTAATGAATAAACTGTTTTCTATGACTATTTTATTGCCTAAGTTAAGAAATTCATTTCCCTACTCAAGAGAATCTTGGAAAGTGTTTTTTTTTTTTTTAAATGTATTCCTTACTTTTTATTCCTCTCCCAAATGTTTGTGAATCTGTGAAGTCTGTAAAATTTGTTGGTAACAACTAGTGGACATAGGCAGAGTTCTTGTATAAAAGAGAGGAGGATACTTCAATTTATGCACCAAGGCAGTTTGGGAATAAGTGAACTAATTATGTCCTTACCTCCAATAGTTACTCTTTTATGGAAGGTAATGTTATACTAGGATGACAAAAGTGTCCAAGGCTCATCTTACTTTCCCTAGCTTTTTTTTTTTTTTTTGGTGAGGGCAATTGGGGTTAAGTGACTTGCCCAGAGTCACACAGCTAGTGAATGTTATGGTCTATGGCCAGATTTGAACTTAGGTCCTCCTGACTCCAGGGCTAGTGCTCTATCCACTGTACCACCTAGCTGCCCCTTGCCCCAGTCCTTTTGGCACGGAGATCATGACACTCACTAAACAGGACCAATTTTTCTCATAGCAAATTGGATCTCTTACCTATCCCTCCTATAAATGAACTGAACTTCCAAAATAACCAAATAAAGTAATTTGGGCTTTGTCTTCATGGTAGGTGATGAGAGACTTAATGTCAGCTCCAAAGTCACTTGATCTTAATGGTAAAAAGAAAGGCTTCGCCGAAAACATTCTTCAAATTAAAAGAATGCATCTGATAGCACTGCTTACCCAAGCCTATCACTTCACTAACTCTTTAGGGAACAGGGAGGCACGTGGTAAGCTCAAGCTTTTTTTTTAAGGATGCCCACTGAGCAGTCCAATGGGGCTAGGATGGGGGGTGGGGGTTCTAGACATCTAATTTCATGGCTGTACAGTCCCAGTGCAGAAACTACCTCCCTCTACCAATGCAGATAAGCAACTGTTGTACCGTATACAACTGTCTTGTAAAGTTGCCTAAGGGCCCTGAGAGATTTAATAACCTGTCAGGGTCACACTGTCAGTAGTAGTGTGGCCTTGTGTTCCTTTGTCTGCCCTCAGCACCATGCCCTGTTGAGCATCCAGATGAAAGCAAAAAAAGTTCACAATGAGAGATTAGGTGTCATCTCTCCAATTCTAGCACATGAGTTGTAGGAACAAAGTAAGCATTATTTTAGTTATGAGACTTCATTTAAAATTTTTATTTAGCAGCACATACATGAAAAAACAAAGGAATTATCCTGGTTAAGTTCAATGGAGTTTGTCGATTACCTAAAGATAGGAAAGTCCAATTGCCAAAATCTTGAAGAGAATGAGACACAATGGCAGTGCAGCAAGAGAATGAGATGTTAATAAAAGCCAAAGTGACCACCTTAATTTCTTTCATAATCTTTAATATTTCCCTCATAAAACAATATATTACGTCAGTCAGCTTAAAAAAAGGAAGACAGAGATAAGGAATACAACCTGCTGTTCAAAATTTCTTTTCAAGGACTTAATTTTTTTAGACTGGGGATTCTTCACCTGGGGTTCAATAACAGATTTCAGAGGGTCTGTGGGCTTGTATGGGAAAAAATATCTTATTTTTCATTAACCTCCAACTGAAATTTAGCACTTTTTTTCAATTATGATTGCAGGCAACATTACTCTACTTCACCAGACTTCTCAAAAGGTCCATGACACAGAAAAGGTTAAGAATTACTGTTTTAGATGGAATATTCATTTTTGGGGAAAAAAAAATTTCATAGCAACTTTGGAAGCAGCCCAGCTGAGACAAGAATATGTAAATATATAAATTCTGAGCCCCTTGTCAGAACCTAGGAATCAAATATAAATATTTGACAACCTTGTGTCTCAAAGTGGTTCCATTTTTATATAATAGTGTATAGTGGGTATAGTAACAGCAGATGTTCAAAGCTTTAGTAGGTACTTGTTTTTATGAAAGGAAAAGAGAAAAATAAGAGGCCTCCTAACGGAAAATGGCCCAATGACCAGATTAACCAACTTTCCAGTTAGATGTCACTCTCCAAAGTGGGGAATAAAGTATATGGTTCAGTTCAGTTGAGATACTTCATACAAGTATGCACCCAGCATTTTGGTCCCTTCTATGTAGTTATGCCTAAAGGGAAATAAGAGAGGGTCATCAAGTTGGCTACTGTCATAAAATTCAATAGCTAGAGTCTGTGCAGAGCACACACGTATATTTTACTCCTAGGGCTAGTAAAGCATTCCAATATGCCAATAATACATGAGAAACACAATCAAAGAAACTTTTTTTTTCAGTTAGAATTTTTTTAAAATTTATTTTTAGTTATCCATATGCTTTTGAGTTTTAAATTTTTCTCCCCCTCCCTCCTTGCCTCCCTCCCCAAGAGGGCATGCAATCAGAGAACCTTTGATAAGTGACAGGTGTAAGAAAGAGGCAGGCAGGCAAAAAAAAAAAAAAAAAAAAGCCTAGGCTAAGCCCTATATTTTAAAATCAACTTCTCTCTCTTCATGAAACCAAATGTGTTCCACTAATCATCTCTTTGCTTTTATCACCCAACATACAGGTGAGAAAAAAGAAGAAGCAGGAAGCAACCTTAGCTGGTTAGAGAATTAGTTACCTTGCTCTTCTTTTCCCTGCTCCTCAAAAGTTGTACAGGGGAGAACAAAGGAATCAAAAAAGGGTCCTGACCTCCATAAGGGCTTGTCTACTCTACATTGATAAATCACTTCTTAGTCCTTGAGGTTATTTAGAAGTTTCTAGAGCCTATGGAGCTAAACATAGCTATTCAGAACATCTACAAGATAATAATAAATGGTATTAAATCAATTTAGAATTTTGGGAAAAGTATATTTGTCTAATTCTATTTGGACCAACACTAACGTTCTTAGTTCCAGTCCTAGCTTAAGAGCAAACACTCTCAAGGGACTTGGGTAAATAAGTAGGTGTATAGATTTTTCTAAGACTATACCATTGGCGTATCATGGAGGAAGACACATAATTCCAGACCGAGACATACAATCAGCTGTAGGCCCTTTCAGACTTACCTGTTGAGTTTTTCATTCTGTGAATGAGCACCATCATCTGCCGATCCGACAGGCAGTAGCATTACATTTTTTCCTGTGGCCTCTTGGAAGGTCAAGGTCACAGGAATACTGCCACCTTCTCTGGTCAAGTCTGGTTCAACACCAAAAACTGAGAGGAATGTGAAAAAATAGTTAAAAGACTGTTCTTGTAAAAGGAAACAAAAAACTTGTTACTAATGTTGACTTCTATAACCCAAAATAACCAAAAATTTTAATCCTTGTATTTTGGACCAGTGCTTCAAGAGCACTGAAGTATGGAGCACTCAGAGGTAAAGTTGGGGTTTAGGAGACGGCAAACACCTTAAGCAATGACTGGTAAATTAATTATGTAAGTGTGTTTATATACACTCTTTGCTGGCTGAGGACATTGGATACCAGGGACCAAGAGAATGAACTTGTGGAGGCTTTGGTGAATTTAAAATCAGAGAAAACTCTCTTTAAAAAAAAAAGTCAATAAAAGCCACCTGTGTGTTCCCATGCTGAAGACAGTAATAATTTTTCAAAACACTGAAGAAAGAGGCTGTGTAATGTAACAGTTGGTTACCTTACTGTAGCATAGTGGAGAGAAGGCTGGCCTTAGAATTAGGAAGGTCTGGGGTTCATGTTCCACCAATGGCACATGGTACACTACATGTGTTATCCTGGGCAAGTCATAACCTCTCAGTGTTCCAGACAATGCTCTAAGACCATAAGCTGCAGATCTGCATTGATGGATTGCATTTCCTCAGTGGGAGCTCTCTACCCAATGAAAGCACAGATCCTGCTTAGGATTATAAGGGCAGACAACGTTAGGGATGACAAGGCTACAAAGCCAGCATCTGGGGCTTGATTCTGGTCTGCCAGGAGCATTTCCTTCTTCAGGGTTCAAAAAAGTCATGCCTATCTGTTCCACTGCTGGCCTGAAAGTGCTATGAGCCTGCAAGCTCACACTGACCTCTTTTCAAGGCTTTTCTCCCAGCCAGGTAATGAGGATGATTGAAGTCAGACACCCAAGGTTTTCCACCATGGCCCATGTACACCTTGAACTTGTTGGGGCTCTTTAGCTCAGTAAACTTTTCATTCACGTAACTTACAACCTTTTGCACATATAAACAAAAATATGAACAGTTAACCATAAACTTGACACTGACTAGGATTAACAATTAATAAACAATGGATTTTGACTTGCCTACTCAATACTGTTCTTCACAGATATCAATAGTGAATGAATGTCACTAAATTATTAAGTTCATTTCACTAAAGGGCAAAACAATTTGACACCACACACAAGAGGCCTAGGAATGGATGGTTATATTGGCTAAAATTATATTGGTTTTCATACTTTAAATGTTGATATGCATCTTAAGTCAGGACAAAAATGCAATGTTCCCTTACACCCATTTTTTATGGTGAACTTGGGTCAAAGGTATCATTTAATTTAAACTAAGATTTCCAGAACATCTAAAAAGGTATAGGTGATTATTAAGCATTTACCAGGTGCAAAGTACTACAGATGATCATTAGCCATTAAGGCCAATGACATCAGTAGTTCTAAGCATGTTTACTAGTCTCCAATAACCAACTTCTCAAATAAGATTTAGATCTCATCTACTTTATAAAACCTTGCACAGCTAACTAGAAAAGAACTGGTGATTACCATCTTCCAAACTTGTCTGAATAGACAACCATGGATCACAAATCCTTTTGCTTAACTTTCCATTAAGCAAAATTTACAAAACATTTGTTTTGCTTATAATGACATTTCACCACAGATATGTTCTTCACCATTAACACAGAAATCTGTTACAGCAGAATCCATATTTGGGAGCTCTAAATCTTCACTACAAACCTAGGTGCATTTCAGCAATACAAGTAGAGGTTATATTTCATAAACATAAGTCCAACAGTATTGACTATACCTTATTTGAGCAATTATTTGTACATATTTTAAATGGAAGAACACATTTATATTGGCTGTATTCAATAATTTTCCATTTTATACAGTATCTAAATATAGTGCTAATATTTGGTAGTTAATTACTATTAGTCATTAGTCATTCATTTACTTATTCATTTCAATATTCGTGATCTGCTCCCAATTAATTTCCAACAACTGAGTTTGGGGAAGCTAAAAGTTGGAACTCTGAAGTCTTGGGTTTAAAGAAATTTACACTGGCAAACCTTATAAATTGCAATTCTGACCATCAGAAAGCTAGACAACCATTATATTACACAGCAAACCCCATCCCAAAATACCTGTTTTTCGACAACCTCAGGTACCATATCTGGCACCAATCTTATTGAGAACTTGCCAATCACTTTCCTAGGAATCACAGTTTTAGCTCCTGGTCCAGAGAAAGCACCTTCAATTCCATGGAGAGAGAGGGATGGGTATCTCCATCTGTGCATTAAGATTTTTTCCTATAGGAGAAAAACCACATCCTTAATGGGGTTAAAGAAAGTAACACCATTTCTTGCTTTGGCTTTAAATGCAAATGTTAAGAAAAGCCAGTTACTTTCCTCTAGAAATTGGAAACGAAAATCAGACACTTGATAGGTACACTGAGCCTTACTTCACTTGGTGGCAAATCTGAATCCAGTGGCATCCACTTGTCATAAGACTCTGGAGTCAGATTCGTAGCCACTATTATCCAAGAGTCAGGAAGTTACTGTATAACCTATATAACAATGGAACCACTTTGAGACACAAGGCTGTCAAATATTTATATTTGATTCCAAGGTTCTGACAAGGGGCTCAGAATTTACATATTTACATATTCTTGTCTCAGCTGGGCTGTTTCCAAAGTTGCTATGAAATTTGTTACTCTAGATAATACACCTATCTTCCACTAAACCCCAATGCCTGCCTTACTGAAGTGTGGAGGGAATTGTGAGTTCTTGAAGGCTATGACAAGAAAGCATTAGCTCGAGAAGAGTCAACCAAGTTGCTAAGGAAGATTATAAACTCAGCTGTGTACTCAGGGTTTATATCTTCAGTGGGCCAGCCTAAATCTGGAGAGGTATTTCACCACAATGTTGGCCTCGAAGGGATGAGTTTCTTAGAGTCATGAAGCCCATCTAAAACAGATGTGAGAGTGGTGATCTGCACTGGATGGAGAAGGAGAACCCAAAGTGACAAAAAAAATCATAAATCTTTTGGAGTATTAGAATTTGGAAACATATATATTAGTCTGAATATAGACTGTTGAAATGAGATTGAGACTTTTCTCCCCAAATAAATTAAGATTTTAATCAACAACAAAGGCAGTATGGTGTAACAGACATAGCATAAAGTCTAAAAGGACCTGGGTTCAAGTACCACCCCTGACACAAACTGGTTATGTGACTTCAGCCAAGTCAAGCTTATTAAGTTGCAGAAGATGCTAACCAGTGTGGGTTAAAGGGGGTTTCCCTCACCTGAGAATACCCTATACCAATGAAATCACATGTCTAGTGTTTCCTACAAAACCAAATAAAATGATAGCTATTTATATGACCACAAATGAAATTAAATTATATCCATGCAGTGTGCCTTCCCCTAAGTTCCCGATGAGCTTTTCCTGGCCATACTTCTTTTAGATCTGTAGTTACCATGAACTCTGTTTTTCATTTGCTTGTGTCATCGCTATTTTACAATGGTAGATAAGTATTTAATTTAAAATGGCAAGGCAGCATGAATCAGTGGGAAGAACATGGAGGTTAATAAAGATGACCCGAGTTCAAAACCTAGTTTTGTGGTTTACTTCCGATATGATAGTTTGGGCCAGTCATTCATTCTAAGGAATGTTGGTTTGTTGGGTGTTGGTCATCTCTAAAATGAGGGGCACTGAACTTGCTCTCTTATGATGCCTTCCAACTCTAAATACTACAATCCTATGAGGCTAAAATGAAAATGCGTTTGTGTTTGTGTGTGTGTGTATGTATGTACATTATATAATCCATAACTATCTCTAATGCTAATTTTGCACATCATATTTTGTGTAACAGAGCCAGAGTGAGAATGGATAAACAGCTGGCCTCAGAGCCAGGAAGAGTTGAGTTCAAGCCCTGCCTTGGACATGTACTGTAATGCTGGCAAAGTCACTTCCCTTCTCAGTATTCTGGGCAACTTTCTAAGACTAAGTTTCAGAAGGAGGGCTGACCTGTGTTGGTATAGGTAGTGTCCTCAATCAAGAGTTCCTGATCTCAAAGAAATGATGGGTCCAAAACTGTTCTAACCCACTCTGGCACATATCCAGAGGAGGTAACCATAGTGGTAGGAGAATTTTAAACATAACCATATAAAGATCAACTGAAGAAACTAGGCATGTTTAAGTTGAAAAAAAAAAAATGACTCAGGAAAAAAAAATAAAATATTCAGAATACTTAAAGAGTGTCATGTAAAAGAGGTTGACCTCTGGTTTTTTGGTTTGTTTTTTTTTTTTTTTTGTGGCCCCAACAGGCAGAATTAGGATTAATGGGAAATTAGGAAGACACAAACTTTTAGTGTAACACAAGGAAAAATTTCTTAACTGGAGCTATCCAAAATGCCAATGGGCAGCCTGAAGGGATACTCAGTAAGTTCCTTGTCATCAAAGGTTTTAAAAAGCACCCACCCCGAATCAAGCCTCAGCCTAAGATCTGCATTCACTGAGGCCAGATCCTGAAGCCCCCTGTGACTTAGTAATTTTATGATCAAAAACAAACTGAAGACCTGAAGACAGGGTAGCACAGGGAAGAACAATGGGGGCCATGAGCTAAGTGCCACCAACCTGGGCTTTGTACCTGGGTTTCTCAAGATGCAAAGCCAGATTTTTATTAAGAAAGCTAAAGAAAATAACTATTATCATGCCTGGCAGTTAGGGCACATAGAAAGCATTAGGGGTAAGTATTGTAACATTTTTGCCAGCTGCACTAAAAAAAAAATCTTCCATTTTCATTATCTAAAGCTTCAGTTAATACTCCTGGTTTTATGAACACACCCTACATCAGAACATTGACAGAACAGGCATCTCAAGAGTAGACCAAGTCACTTGGGGAATAGCAGGGTTAAAGAGGGGGGAGAAGGGCAGAATCAAAACCTGTTTGAGATGTAGGAGGCTTTGGCACAGTTCACTACAAGCTACTAACTTATTGGATGTTCTTCGGTAAATGACAACTATTAAATGTCTCAATTTCTTCTCAATGGTGAAAACAGGTTAGTGATTGCTTTGAGTGATGGCACATAGGATTAATAAAAGTCACTAGAGGACTTAGAGATCCTTGAATGAAGATACTCGATTATCCTAGAGTATCTTACCATAGCCAGCTATGCAAAAAAACCCTCATTTGCTGTGATGGAATAGAAATTTTATGTTGGCACTGACAGACTGAACATCTGAAATATACAGTAGTGTTGGTCTAACGGAGGACCATTGTGATGAAAAAACCTTTGCTTAGATGGAGTCATTAAATTTTAGCCCTACAATGTATCTTAGAAATCATGTAAGTCAACCTCTTCATATTAGAGATAGGCAGCTGAGCTAGAGAGGCTGATTTATCCTAAGTCATATGAGTAGGATTAAAACCTAGGTCTCCTGACTTTCAAGTCAGATTCTACAATGCCATAAAATCTCCAGGACTTATTTCTGAAATAATCTACTGGCTTTGAAATATTTTTACTATCAAAGGACTTTCTATTACTATAAATGCAAAGATTATAGGTTAGGTCCCTTTAAAGAAACTGAGAGATAAATATTAGAAACTAGGTTAGTATGCTGTAGGCACAAAGAGAAATACTCTCCAGTCTGATCCCTGACCTTAGAAAAAGGACTTAGTTATCCTTGCTTCCATAAGGATTTGATGTGACTCTAAAATAAACATCTAACCTAAAGCAAAAATTAAAAGGTGATACTAGTAGGGCAGGAGAAAATAAAATTCTTATAAGAAACATAAAAAATCCTTTACCAAAATGAGGAAAACCACCATAAACCAAGAGCTAGACTTGTTAGCAGAAATAAGCTAGAACTTCAATTTTTAAGCTGCCATGGACCACATCAATTCCGCTTTAGCAAAATGAATCAAATACATCTAGGACCTGTGGCTTTCAATAATGTGGATCATGATGTATTGAGAACTTGGAATTACTGACAGCTCAGAGGCTAAGAGACTTACTCATGGTCACCTGGCTAGTAAATGTCAGAGGCAGGCTCTGAAAAACACCTTACCACCTTAACCCTCGTCCTGGCAGTAAGAAGATGAACTGTGTGTGGAGCCATAAGAGAAGCCACTAAAGATGATGCCATATGGCAAGTCCCTGCCAAAGATCCTGAAACTGACTATGCCCATTTTCTCTGCTTGTCTCCTGTGACTGAAACAGTCCCAAGGTAGAAATTCTGTTTGTTTTTCTGGCTCTCTTTGCTTTTTGGCACTCACAAACATAGCACTTACCAAAGGTCAGGCCTCAAGATCTGATGGACAATTAAGTTTGTGTCAACAAGACAGAACATACCTTTGAGTCATGTAGAAGTGTCTTTGCTCCCGCATCTTTTGTATATTCTTCCAAATCAAAGTCAATCTTTTCATACAGCAAGAGCTCCTCATCAGTAACAGGAGCCACTGATTCATTAATACCAGGGATGAGAATGTGTCCCTTTCTGTCCACCAAGCAGCCTGGAGAAAAAAAACACAATATTAAAAGCTCTCCAAGAACATCTAATACTTTACCGCAGTGCCTGGCACACAGTGGATGATTAATAAATGACTGTTGACTTGAGTACACCAGTCTCTAAGTTCTCTGTTCTCTAACTACAGCCCAAAGGCAAATGTGAATTTTTGAAGACCATGCCAATGCAGTACAAGCTCTGGGTAGCTTCAACCAAGGTGGAAAGACTTTGAGCATGACCTAGTAAGGAATGGTCCAGCCTAGCTGAGTTCAGAAACACTAATCAGAAACACTAGGTCAGCCACAAATGATCAGAGTTTTGACCACAGCAATTCATAAAAGAGGGCAGGTTCAGTGGATAGAGTGCCAGGCTGGAGCCAGGAAAACTCTTCTTCCTAAGTTCAAATCTAGCCTCAGACCCTGGGCAAGTCACTTAACCCTGTTTGCCCCTCAGTTTCCTCATCTGTAAAACGAGATGGAGAAGGAGATAGCAAACCACTCTAGTATCTTTGCCAAGAAAACCCCAAATAGAATGACAAAGAGTCAGACATGGCTGAAAACGACTAAACAACAATAATAACTCATAAAAACATCTACTAAGGTAGATAAAGACTGTGCCCAAAATCAGTAAAGAGAGTACCCTCCATGGATAAAGTCAGATTTGCTGAAGTGTAAGAATAACTACATTTAGTATACAAAGCAAAGGATGCTGCATCCTTAAGAGTCGTACCACTCAGAGTGAGAGGGGAAAGGACTCACAATACTGAAGGACCCAAGGGAAGCTGTGACATGGTCAATCCAGCATGAGTCTTGCAGTGATGCTAACACTGCATAGACAGGAATGACAAACACTATACAAGAGTTCAATATACTTCAGCCTTTTTTTGAAAAAGAAAATTGTATGTTTTACAGAGGTCATGGCTGAGATGAACAGCCTGTACTTCCGGAAGCTGAGCTTCCTTACTCTGCTGTTCCAATAGCAAACCATCACTTTTTTTTTTAATCTTTAGGCAATTAGGGTTAAGTGACTTGCCCAGAGTCACACAGCTAAGTGTCAAGTGTTTGGTCTGAGGCCGGATTTGAACTCAGGTCCTCCTGACTTCAGGGTCACTATTCACTGCGCCACCTAGCTGCCCCTAAACCATCACTTTTGATGGCCAAAAAAGGCCTATACAAAAGTATAGTTAACCAAGATTGTATGAAAATGTAATACAGTTAAATTGAGTTAATTTGGTGAACCAAGGTATACATGTAGGCACATTCCTGGCAAACTTTCAATAGCATACACATAGAAATCATTGCTGAATCTCACTTAAACTTTTTCTTCCAAATCAACAAATACTGAGTATCCACCACATTCAAGAAAAGTAAAAATGAGATATTTAGAATGGATCATTCTGGTTAAAGTAACTTCTGCTTTAATGTTAATAAATGATTGGTTACACTTTGTTAATATCCCTTGGTAACTGGGCTTACCCATCAGAGTAATGAGATCTGACATGGCTTCATGCACCGAACCACCATACACACCAGAATGAAGGTCTTTGTCACTGCATTCCACCTGGTTTGAAACAAGCATGTTCTTACTTTGATGCTTGGTGGGGGAACTTTTAAAAAGGTGAGTGGAAACTATATTTGTTGATAAACAACTGCTCTCCCCAATGTAAAGTCATGAATTCCTCAAACTATGAGGCTTTTGTGGGACTTGAAAACTATAGACACAAAAACCTGAAAGATGTACTATTATTCACGGAAGCTTCCATTTACTTTTCAACTCCCCTGGCATGAAGGGATGCAAACAGTTTCAAAAAATATGATTCTACATTTGCTAAGGGATAATACTGAGATTTACATTAACACTTCAGTTACCTTGCACAGACAATGAACAGTTCCACATAAATTTATGTTTTGGGGGAAAATTCTGTGAACTCTTTAAATGATATAATAGTTTTTTGGTGAAAATTTAAGATTATATGTTTCCCTTCTTCTCTATGCTAAAGAGAATTTAATCTTTTCTTGACAATTTAGCGTCATTTAAGAACAGTCATTCATCTGACAGACCCCTGTCCATTACTATACTATGATAACTTATGCTGGAGGGCCTATTCCTATACCAAAGAGTTGTTCTTGCTTTTTTATGTTTTCTCATAAGGCGATTTTTTTCCTTCTGCTTCACGGATAATTCCTGGCCCTGCTGCCATTCCTCTGTACACTGCCACTTCAGCTGCCTGCTAAGCTCTCCTCTGCTTCTCTTTTTTCTTTCCTTGCTGCATTTCTGTCCATTTTTCCAGCAAGCAGTAGAGCATCTCCAGCCAGAGAGAGTGCTGCTGGCCTCTAAGTTGGTGAATTTCATCCATCACACCCCATTGGGAGAAACCTCTGGCTTTTAGGCTATTTTCTTTCTTTGTTGTCAGAGATGATAACTTTGTCTTTTTTTTTAACCTATGGGTTTCAGTTTTGTTTTGGATGGCTGATATAGCCAGAAGCCTGACCTCTGTACAAGAAATGTATCCAGGACACTAATGTAGCACAAGAGCTGTTTGCTCAGAACAAACTGGTTAAATCTACAATTGTGATACTATCATATCAAATACATTCATTTTTCTTAATGATATGGGGGAAACAGGAAAAGTGGCCAATAGGTTAGAAAAGATGGAACTCAGAAACCTACCTCTATAAAAAAATAGCAAATTCCTCTGAGGCCATATGTAATACAGGGCTTCTTTTTCCCCAACCAGTAGTTGTCAGAGATACAAACATAATCCACGTCTTTGAAGAAAGTATCTTTCTTAGAGAAAATCAAATCATCCAGGCCTTCAGAACCAGATTCCTCCATGCCTTCTAGACAAAATTTGACATTGACAGGGATATCCTTTGGAAATAAAATAAGAAATCTTAGTAAATATCCAGCTGCTGAGTATTTTTAAAGTCTTAGGAACATTATAGAGAAAAATATGTTTTAAAACTACAAATTTTTTATAACTCATGCTTTTGGATATCAAAGATAGATCTTGGCCAAGCTAAGACTGCCAATGTTGCAGATACTGTTAAGGTGATCATAAATCTCAGACTTTTTACGAGAGTTTATAATTTGTAAAAAAAATTTGTTATAAGAGTATCCCTTTCAGACCATATGTCTCAATTTTGTTTCAGAAAATATAGTCACCATACATAAAACTAGTGCCAGATTCCCTTACAGATCTATCCTTGCCCTGATAAATTCAATCAAGAAATGTGCAAGTGGGAAATGTCCCCAATATGGTGTTTTTTAAAATTTATTTTTATTCTGAATTTAACAAACACCAAACAAAATGAAAATCTACACATACACAGCAGAACATTAAGAAGCCTGCACATGAAACGGCATATCTCCAACCTGTATAGCTTGCATTCCTTTCCAAAGCTAAAACAAATTCAGCCTGAAGCTTTCAAAGCTATCCTTATACAACTCATTTTAAAATAAAAGCAAGTCCATAAAATAATTGCCACTGGTTTGTCATTTACAATATCAGAGTCCGCTCTTAATTCAGTCAAAGATGGGTAAAATTCCTTCCTTTAATTTACAACTCTCCTCTCTCTCAGATGCTAAACACGCATTTATCTAAAAGCCTTCTGCTAAAAAGATCAATAATAATATAAAACAACATCATCTTACATTTGTAAAATCCCTTACAGTTTTCAAAGCAGTTTCACATAATTAGTTATTGAAATTCTCTCAACAACCCTGTGAGACAGACAGGAAAAAGGTCACAAAACTATAGAGCCTCATTGTTCTGACTAGGCCAATGGTCTAATTTACACTATTTGACTTTCTAATTCACTCCAATAAGTATTTATTAAGCACCTAATCTATACAAAGCATCCTGCTATGTACTAAAGATACAAAGAAAAAGAAAAACCCTGAAAAACAGCATTTGTCTTCAAGGAACTAACATCCTTTACTATATTATTCTGATTTCAGTTGTTACTCAAAATACTATACGTATACTTTGGTTTAAGAAAAATACAACGCTCGTATAACTAGCCTTCAAAACAGACAAATTAATGGGTTTATATTTGTATTGCAGGAAAATTTATTCCAGGGCTTCTGCAGGTTCACAGTTTCCTCAATGTATTAAAAGTATGATTTAATTTATGGCTATAGCCAGCAGAGCTAGAAGGATGAGGGCAGAGAGCCTGAAGTCTGAGAAGGTCAGCCCTTGGGAACAGTGGGGATTCCTTTCATGTATAAGTTAGACGAGATGACTACTGAGATCCTATTCTCTCAAATTCTGTAATTCTGTAATGATGACTCTTAGACCTCAAGCTAAATATTGTCCTTTGTCAAGCTGCTTAACTTCTCTAAGACTCATCTTCCTAATCTTAATAGGGGTAGAACTACATGATCTTCAAATTTCCCAGTGGGTCTAAAATTCTACAACTCACAAAAATTATTTACCTAAATTTTCATGAAAATACCAGTTACATGAGTGATATAAGAGAAATGGATTAGGAGATAGGAGATTTGGATTCTAGTCCCAATTACTCCAATAAATAGCAATGTAATCTTAGTAAGTTTATTTAACCTGGGCCTTAGATTTCTCATCCAAAAAAATAAGAGAATGAGAAAAGGTAATCTTTAAAGTCCCTTCCAGTTTAACATCCTAAGATTCTATAATTCTATAAGTAGTAGCAAGTAATATTGGGCAGCTAGAAGGTACAATGGATAGAGTGCCAGGCCTGGAGTCAGAAACAGTCATATTTCTGAGTTCAAATCTGGCCTCAGACACTTACTAGCTGTGTGACCCTGGCAAGTCATTTAACCTTGTTTGCCTCAGTTTCCTTATTTGCAAAATGTTCTGGAGAAGGAAATGGCAATCCACTCCATTGTCTTTGCCAAGGAAACCCCAAATGGGATCACGAAGAATCAAACATAATGAAAAACGACTGAACAACAACAGCAAGAAAAATTGAATCTACATAAGGCACCAAAAAGCCAAGTAAGTTATCCAGTATCAAACAGTACACGGCAATTTCTTGCAAGTTACTAGAACCACAAGAATATTTTGTGATTTATAATTCAACACTGCATATGCTGGCTACACTCTTGCTGGCTTTTCAGTGCCATCATTTCTGAGCCACAATAAAAGTTAAACTTTAACTAGAAGCTAATGGCAAGAAAAAAAAAAGCACAAGTGCTGATACACAGAGTTGTGTTTCAAACTCCAAGGACTCAATCTTTACCAGGAATTTTATAGTGGGGAGGATTATCCATGTACTGCTTAGACAGGAAGCAAGGTGCACTTGGTAAAATGGGATATAGCTGACGTACCTGATTTATTTGTTGAAAAGCTTCCAGGGCATTTAGCCAGCCAAGTACTGGTCCCTTGTCATCAGTTGCACCTCTTCCATACAGTTTTCCTAGAAGAAGTATCAGCAAATTTGTGGGAAATCATGATTACAATGACTGAAGGAAAAGTTCATTTCAAGTAAATACCCAATATCTTGACTCTTGAATCCAGACAACCTGATTTTCCTCTGAATCAGAAGAAGCATTAATATCATCCCATTAGGAGATCATCCCTATTCTAAAGATGAAAGCTAAGTTACATTTAATGATTTACCAAAGTTAAAGTTTTGGAAGGTTTCCTTTGGAGGAAGAATGTTTTTGCCTCAAAACTAAACCAATTTTAAAAAATAAGATTGCTGTACTTCCTTACCATCTCTTTCTACCAACGTGAAGGGCTCACTATCCCAGCCATCCTCCAGGGCTGCTGGTTGTACATCCAGATGTCCATAGACACACACAGTTTTCTTTTGGGGATCCGAGCCCAGTTTGCCAAGTAAAATAGGAGGCAGAGGTATTTCTGAGCCATCGTGGAGCTAAAAGTCAAAAGGAAACAATCATATCATTTTGCTTCTAATATTCAAAAGATATTCATACAAGATTGTTGTTGAAAGGATATTTCATAATCACAGAATGTTATAGTTACGTTATACTAAGTAGCTTCCAATCTTTAGATTTTCCTTGAAAAATATATCTGTTAAACTATATAAAGTGGGTAAGAACAATTTGTTCAACTAAGTCTAAGGTAATGCTCAAAAATTAATTTCAATGGACCAAAATTAATGCAAGCTGGTTACAAGTATAAACTGCCTAACACCATTAGTTTATTATTTGTGGCATTCTAAAGTATTAAACAATCAGCACAGTTCAGTCCACAAGCAGAAGCACTTTACGAACTTAAGATTTAGAGGGAAATTCTCTTCTATGTTAGATTAGCACAGGCCTTTTTCAAAGACTGAGGCAAGCACCATCTTTGGCAAACACATTCTTCCCTGTTTTGTATATCACCTTTATATAAATAAACAATTAAATATGTAAGCATTTATTGTCTCCGTGCCAAGTATTATGCCAAATGGTGATGGTGGGGACATAGAAAAAAAAAAGAAAACAATCCATTCCTGCCCTCAAGAAGCATCTATTTGATAGGGAGGAAAACACTCGTACAGATAAAATATGAACAAAATTAATGAAAATAAATCAAAGGAATGGGTGGGAGCTTAACATTTGGGGGAACCAGAAAAGACTTCATGCAGAAGATAGCATTTGAATCAAACCTTGAAAAGAAAGAATGCATTCCAGGCACAGGCAAAAGCACAGAGGTGGGGAACTGAATGTCATCATGCACAGGAAAAAGCAAGTAGGCCAGTCTGGTTGGAATAAAGGGTGTAAGAGAGAAATTATCTGAAATTAGCCTAAAAAAGACAGGCTGGAGCCAGAATGCAAAGGACTAGAAATGCTAAAATTTATATTTTAACTTGAAGGCAAGTAGAAGTCAGTGAAGTTTCTTGAGCAACCTTCTTGGTCAGACCTGTGCTTTAGGAGCATCAATATGGATTAGAGAGGGGAGAGACTGGAGGTGGTGAGACTAATTAGGAAAAAATGATAATAGTCCAAGTAAAAGTAATGAGGGCCTAAGAATAGAGAGGAAGGGACAGGTCCAACAGATGTTGTGGAGACAGAATTGACAAGTTTGCCAATAAAATGGAGGTTAAACGAGAAGGAAATGTCGAGAATGACCAAACTGACAAATCTGGAGGACTGGAAAGATAGTAGTACCTTCAACAAAAATGAAGTTGAGGCAAGGACAAATTTTGAGGAAAAGTTAAAACATGTTCTGTTCTGAATACAGTGAATTTGAGGTGTCACTGGGACATATACTTGGAGATACCTATCTATGTGAGTAGTGCATGACTGGAGCTCATGAGAGAAGAGAATGATGTGTATATTTGAGGAAGACATCTGCATAGAGGGGTTAACTGAACCCATGGGAGATATTACTAAGACAATACAGGATGAGAAGAGAGCCCAGAACACAGGGCTTTACCTACACATAAGATCTAGCCAGGTTGACTGAGAAGAAATAGTCCGAAAGGCAGAAAGAGAGCCAAGAGGAGAAGCAGCATGAAAACCCAGGGGGAAGAAAACTGACAAGAAGAAGGGGTGGTTAATGGTGCCAAATGCTGCAGAGAAGTCAAGAAGGAGCAGCACTGAAAAAAAGATCTTTGGTGACCTTGGAAAGTCTCAGAATCCTGGGATTGGAAGCCAGATTGCAAGACACTGAAGACTTCGGGGTAGGGAAGTCTTTTAGTTCTATGAATTTGCCTATGAAAGGAAAAGGTGTAACAGGAACTCAAGTGAAGGTTAAGGTTGGGGGAGATCAAAGTGTATCTGTAAGCAGAAAGGAAAGATTAAGTAGAGAGGAGACTGAAAATTGGAGGGGTCACAAAGACACAAGCAGAGGGGTTTGCCTCATTAAGAAGGACCATCTCTGAGACTGGATCAAAGGAGAGGATGGGGGAAAATGATCAAGGGATCAGAGGATCACTGAGCAACATTCTTTACGAATTCATCAATGAATCTTGTACATTCTTTGCATGTGTATGGAAAACACAGTACAGCTTTTAAAGCTGCTCTACTGATTTAAATGTTTTTGTTTATTTAGAAATCCCAGTGGAATCTTATATTTTCTATACCTCTTAGCTGCATGACTAGGGAGATGTAGTCTGTTGTAGAAAAATAATTTGCAAAAGCCTCCCTGTTCCTTTCCCCCATTTTTGGTGATACTTTTGATACCTGAGCAGATCATTTTAATGAAAATTGCAGAGATGATAAAGTAGGTATACACATATGGAATTGCTGAGATCCTCAGGTTCTTTTTGGGTATCATCATCAGCTGAAACTGTAATTGTTAGTTATTTCCTTAAGATATCTTGAAATACAATAACAACCACATTGTGTGATGACTAATATTGATAAACTTAACCCTTCCTGGCAATACAAGGATCTAAGACATCTCCAGAGGCCTTGTGATGGAAAATGCTATCCACACCCGAAGAAAGAACTATGGAAGTCGAATTGCTATTTTTTTTCTCTTCTGTTGAGTTGTGTTTCCTCTTTCTGATGGTTCCTCCTATTGGTTTTAATTTTTACTTACATCACTAATGTGAAAATATGTTTAATATGAATGTAAATGTACAGCCTATATCAGATTATGCACCGTCTTGGGGAGGGCAGTGGGGAGGAAGGGGGAAAAAGTTTTAAACTCAAAGCATATGGAAGTGATTATTGATAAATCAAAATAAATTAATAAAAAAAAAGATATGTTCAAATAGATCATTCAGTGTTTTTCAAAACCGTATTGTCTTCAACATGAAATTCTTCTGTGTATACTTGGTTTGGTCCATATCCCTCTTCCTTATGCATCTCTACCAAATGGCCATGACCAAATTCAGATCATCAACCCCTCACATCTGACTATTATAACTAGTCTAATTGTCCCTCTAGTCTCTCCTTCTACTAATCCATTCACTACACAGTAAAGTGATATTTTTAAAATATTTAATTACGAATTTAAACATCAAATATTTCAACATATAAATATATGAAGCTGTGAACGTCTTAAAAAACAAAAACAAAAAATAAAGTACATGTAACAGAACTATATATTGGGGGCAGCTAGGTGGCACAAAGGATAGAACTCTGGCCTTGGAGTCAGGAGGACCTGAGTTCAAATTCAGCCTCTGATACTTGACACTTACTAGCTGTGTGACCATGAGTAAGTCATTTAACCCTGACTGCCTCACCAAAAAAAAAAAAGGTGTATATTACAGTTAACACAGGAGTAACAAAACTGCCCTTCTTGTCTCTATTCCTTTCTGAATTTCCTTCTGCTCTCTTCTGGGTATTTTTTAATATTTTTATATTATTTTACATATTTGTATATTTTATATATTTGTATATTTTAATATTTTTTAATATTCTTTTCTACCTTTTAAAATCTATGACTACCCAACTAACCAATTTCCTCAAGGAAAAAAAGAAGGAAAAGAAAAAGACAAAAAAAAAAAGTCCTCCCTTGTAACAAGGTAGTGAAGAAAAACAAATCAATACATGTACCCTATCTGAAAATGCCCAAATTGATATTCTTCAAGTATGGGTCTGACCATGCCACTCCTACTCAAGAAGCTATTAGTCATTCCCTGCTGCCAGTTTGATAACATAATCATTCTTCTATTTAGATTTTTCACAATCTCATTCTACTCTTTTTCAGGTTTACTGAACATTACGTTATTCTTTGGCTACTTTATATTTCAGCCAAAGTGGCCTACTGGCCATTTCCTGTACTCAATGACATTCAATCTCCCCTCACTAGGCCTTTGAATAGATTATCATTCATGCCTGGAATGCATTCTTTTCCTTACTTCTGCCTTGTGAAATTCCAAGCTTCCCAATTCCCTCCTACTCTTAGTGCCTATATTTTAAAAAACTGTTTAATGTATTACCATGTCCAAAGAATTCATTTCATAGTAACCAATCTACCGGTGATGAGCTTCTCTGTAATTAAGTAGACTGGGGCTTGGACAATAGATACAGTCTTTGGTTAGCACCATACTCAACAGAAACAGAGAACTGACTGGAAAGGATCCCAGAAGACATCTAGTCCAATCCATATCTGAGAAAGCATTTCTTCTACAACATTCCTGACAAATCATCATCCAGTCTTGGTTTTTTTGTTTGTTTGTTTGTTTTAGCAAAAGTGAGTTCACAAAGGAACTGAGACAATTTTGGATGAAATGATGTTAAAGAGAGGGCCTAGGCTTAGCAACTAGATAGAAAAACCTTAGGATTAAGGGAGAAGTTAGAAAGGAAATGGAGTAGAATTGAGAACTATGCTAAAGCATACAGTAGTCTTCTGATAAACTAAAAGTATTTTTCCTCCTGGGAACAGAGCCCCACTTAGAGCAGGTGACTGCCAGAGAGGTAAGATAAGAGTATTTAGATTTTTCCAATTACCAGTATAATTTCCATTAAGTTCCACTGACCTAGATGATCTCTAAAGGACCTTCCAACTCTAACTCTAACACTGTAACTGGATAACTACATTATAGAACAAACTAAGATTGAAACTAAAAAACCTAATTAATTGCACAATCACCTTCAAAATAACAGAGTATTTTATTATAAACTTTAAGAATATACACTTAATGTGTACAGATGTGTTAAAAGACTGAAAAACAAAAACAAACAAAAAAAAAACAACAACCAGGTAGGACATGTCCTGATCCACACTGTGTACTATGAAGCCATACTATCCACTTATTTAAGGAAGAGGAAAAGAAATAATCTATGTGAATCCTTCATTAAATGTAATTCAGAGAAAAAGAATTTATAATAGCGAGTTCTTAGGCAGAAAATCTGAAGCTAAAATCTGCTGCTACCGATTGTGAATTTTGCTAAGAGGATAGGAGGCAAGTCCAACTTTCGGGGCTGTTAAGACTAGCTGAAAAACTTTCTCAATTTCTTTCAGGCAAGTCTCAACTATTTCCTTAAAAGGAATAGGTAAGTTCCTATTTAGTAAACTGTAGTTCACATTTATATGGTACTCTCATTTATGAAGTACTGACCTCATAACAATTCTGTGAAGTATTATAAGTATCATCCCAAGCAATAAAATGTATTGCCCAAGGTCACACAGCACGTAAACAGTAAAGCTGGGACTATAACTCAGGTCTCCTGGCTTAGTTCAGTGTTTCTTTCTACTATGCCAATCTTCAATATTTGCACTACCTGAGATACTGAATACAACAAAAACTGGTCCCTATCCCCAACCAAAAGAACTGTAAATATGAAGATCAATACTGCTTTAGCTGGAGCAGAATGGAACAATACAAAAAGTTAACGGTTATCAAATCAGAGGACCTCCATTCAAATTCTGCTTCAGATGGCATACTACCCATATCACCTTGGAGAAGTAACCTCATAGCCTGAGGCCTAGTTTCTTCATCTGTCAAGTTAGGGGTGTACTAGATGGCCTCCACAGGCTCATGATGCCAAAGGAGTAGAGAAAATAATGAGTACAAATTAGCAATCGTTCTCCCCCAAAAGGTCAAGTTCTAAGAGACCCTCAATTAAGACTGAATTATTTGTGCTTTCCAGATGGTCCTTTATGCACACTGTTACAACCATACCTTTTGTTTCCCAATGTCTATCAGCTCAGTTGTGCCACCTAGTTGTCTTATGTTTGCAGCTGCAACTTCCATCATCCGATTGATTTCTTCTCTTTTCTCTGGCCAGGCAGAAACGCTCTGGATTGAGACCCATTCTGCAAGCTTCTGTTTGTGTATAACAAACAAGCATGGATTTTAAAATGCTATATCATAAGGGGAGAACAGTATCAAAAGCCTACAATTTTAATATCAAAGTTAACATGAAAGTCTACTCAAAACTGTCCCTTTTGGACTAAATTAAGTAGAAGAATCACAAGCTGTTGTTTTATCTTATGTGCTTTAAAAATGACCAGTACAGCATAGTACCAATTTCAGAAAGTACATTTTAATACAAAATCACTATTTACTAATATTCAGAATATTACACTAATATGGCATAAATGAGTCTACAAAAATGCTTAGTAATGCCTAAAGATATGTATACATAAGCAAAAGACACTGAAAACATCTAAACACTTTTCAGTTCTCTGGATTCACATAAATCATTCCATCTTTTTAAATTAATGCTATCTTCTAAAACCCAGTTCTTTAAAGTGCAATCTTGTGAACAGGATGGTGTCATCTTCAATATTATCCCATAAGAAGCACCAGCTCTAAAACTCTATACTTTTGTCATCTAAATTTAAGAACAAATTTTATTTAAAATCAACTCCCTATTTTCCTCAAATGGTAACTGAAAATCTTGGAGCCAAGGCTTCAGCAGATTTATAAGGGCCAAGTAAATGGCTTCCAAAATCAGTCACATGAGGTATCCTAAACTGAAAAGATCAATAAGTATATCAGCACTAGTTTCTTATATAGTAGCTTCAGTTTCTATAGAAATGAATGTTGAAGATTTTCTGTCAAAAGATGTCATTACAAAAAAGAGCAACACAAATTATAGACAAATCTGTAAGCAGATTACAAATTCGCTTACTAAGATGATATATACACTTAATGGGAAGGATTAAAAAAAGTTTTAATGCAGATTAAAGACTATTTTCTTACCTTTATGTATTGATTCTGGTGTTTATCAATATGACGAAACAGTTCAGTGAGGATAGGCATTTTCTGATTCAATGAATGATTCTGGAAACTCTGAGAAGAAAAGATTGTGTCCAATGCCTGAAATCTGTAATAGTAACAAAGACTGTGTAGTCTGATGGCACTGATATCCTATCACATGACTTACTGACTCCACCCTTCAAGAAAAGGATTACAAAAGCAAAAATGACAAGAATTGCAACATCAGAAAGAAAAGTCTTCCTTCCAGTAATACTACAGAAACTTTGGGAAGGTGAAAATAAGATTAGCTAAACTTTATGATAACTGATATTTTTTTCCCTAAAGATAAAAAGTACCACAATATGAGCAATAGTATTATATAAAAAGATGTGGAATTTAAAGACAATAGGGATAATAAGGATGAAAAGATTAATAAATCAAATGAGAAAATTCACTCTGCCAATGCAGGTGAATTCCTCTCCTGCAATTCAGTCTTTCACAGTAGCCTAGCAACAAGAAGTGAGGTGACCTACACAATGCCACTGTTTGTGTCAGAGGTTTCCCTAAATTGAGACTAGCTCTCTCCATTCATACTCTCACTGTTTTAAAGATAATGAAAACTAAAGCAGGGCAAAACATTGACTTTGCCTTCATTCCTGTTTACATATGATTACTATACTTTTAAAAGAAAAAAAATGCTAGCTTATACTGAAATGAAAACTCAATTCTTGGGAGGCCTAGGATATACTTGCCTTGAGGTAAAAAAAAAGAGAAAAAGCGAAACAACAAGGATAATCAAACCTTTGAACTTTGGATCAAATTCTAGAGGCAGCAATGGAGATTATTTCACTCAGGTCAAAATTTAACTAGGAATAAGAGTAAATATTTTCAACATATGAAGCAGCTGTTCAGCCCCTGGTCCCCTGGGAGAACAATCTTTTTAACTGACGGCTTCTCATGCAAAACTGTGAACAAATTGCCCTGATATTAGAAATGTGAAAGTGAAAGATAGCCTTCTACCCTGAATAAACCCTGCTAAATTAAAAAAAAAAATGCTTCTGGCATTAGGACTTTCGAAAGCATAACTTCCTCTTCTGTAACTATGTTGCAATTGGGGAATTCAGATTTCTCTGTTGAAACTTCAAGCCCTAGCTGAGGAGCAGCTCTGACATCCTGAGCAAATGAGCTCTGAAGTGACATTAAGGACTGCAGAACTGCAGCTGCTGTGTGTGAGAATCCACTACATCAGTCATATTCTGAAGTGGGATGCCAGATTAATGCCTGTGCATTGACACATTATGGTTAAATGGCACTCTTCATACTTCAGGATTACAACATGATTTATAAAGAGAGAGATGACTTTCTCTGCCTCTGAAATGGATAGTGGCAGTTGTTTAAACAGACTGGGAGAGTTACCACAATACTACAGCAATTCCCAAAGGTACCTAGAAGTTGCAGTTGGGATTTTAAGTCATTAGGAAACAAAATTATTCTCCCTTCCACTCTTCAAACTCTCTTCATAGAGAATGGAATGTTCAAGTAACCCCAGTTAATACGAACCTGGATTGATTGGCTCATAGCACCTTTGGACCTTAAAATTATGTAGCCTTTATCTAAATCAGCAAGATCTTTCCCTCTACTATAAAAAGTATCTTCATTACTTCAATACTCATAAAATTAAATGTTACAAACGTGGCAGTTTACAAATATAAACTAGGCAATTTGCAAAGACTGGATAACAATTTGTCTCGAATGCTGTTGAAGAGGCTCTTGTTTATATTAGAGTTGGTACAGAGCAGAGGTATCAAACTTGGCCAACAAGAGGAGTGCAACCAGAACCAAACTAAAATGCATTTGGGAAATGTTTAGCAAAATAAATAAACAATATAGATAATGCTACTTTGTGGTTTTCTAAGTCAAGATGTGGGCTTCAGGGATCTTGTTTTATTTGAGTGTGATACCACTGCTCTAGACAATCTGAAAAATCCCTTTCTACTGAGAATCTGTATTTTTACATAGTTCTCTCATTTAATCCTCACAAATTACCTTATAAAACAGGCAGAAAAGACAGTTTTAATCCCAGTTTTAGAGATTAAGAAAATGACAGCGAAATAGGTAATGTGACTAGGCCCAAGCTCATGCAATAATCAAGTCTTAGAACTTAAATTAAAACCTAAGGTGCAATGAAAACACATGTTACTTAGGAAAGAACTTTCTATTTGATAAAAACCTGCTGAGAAAACAAGGAAGCAGTCTGACAGAAATTAGGTTTGGCCCAACATCTCACAGCACATTCCATAATGCATCCAAAATGGATATGTGACCTCATTCTTAAAGATCATGCTATTAAAAATTAGAAAAGCAGATTACACACCTCTCCCAGCTATAGGCACGCCATGAACTCTTAACCAAACAAAGGATAGAGGCAAATTACAAAAGATGAAAAAAAAAGTTAAAGTTGACTGCATGAAACTGAAAAACTTCTGCACAAATAAAATTAATGTATCTGGGATTAAAAGAAAGTAGTAGAATGAGGAAAAATCTTTATAGCAATTTTCTTAGATAAGGATTTGGTATCCAAGATACATAAATAACATACATATATGTATGTATACGTGTATATGCATATATCCAAAAGCTATTGTCCAATAGATAAATAGTCAAAAGCTATGAACAATTAAGAACCACATGAAATAATGGTCCAAATTACTGATAAAAGATAATGGAAGAAATTCTGGTGGTGTAAAAAGCCAAAAAAAAAGAATCAGAAAAAAAATACTTTAAAATAAAATAAAGTAAAATCTAAGTTACCTGACTAATGGGAGAGGCATTCTCTAAGTATATACAAAATTGAGCTACACTTTGTAAGATGTCGTTTTCAGCTGTTTTATTTAGGTTACATAAAAAAAAAAAACGAGCCAACACCATGTCTTATTTTTAGGATTATTTTATTATTAGTTAAGCTGTGCTAGTATATTAGTACATTTAAACTGTAATATCCTGGAAGGAATACTGGGTTTGGAATCAGACAACCTGGATTCAAATTCTGGCTCTCTGCCAGAATTTCCTCCATGTAATCTTAGTTAAATCATTTAGCCTCTTCGGGCCTTAGTTTCCATATACACAAAATGATAGCATTAAACTAGATGACTCCTAAGGTTCCTGTGGATTAACACTTCAAATTTCATATTCTTGGGCAGGTATGATTGAAATGAACTGAACTTGGGAGTTGAACTGGAGGAAGAAAGCAGGATGGAATGCATATGGGGAAATGTGCATTGTTTTTAATGATCCCAAGCTTTTACATAAGCCAAAAAAGCCATCTTTTTAAACATTAATATTCTGCCAATTATGCTTTATTTCTAGATCATGAAACTATTAACCTCTATAGAATCAAAATTACAAGTGACTTAGGAAAGACTGTAGCACATTATCAAAGATGACCAACCTAAGAAAATATGTATGTGAAGTCATCAAGGCAACGTACAATTGCAAAAAAGGGCACTACCTAAGTTTTACACTGGTATCTATTGATATTAAAAGACCTAGAGAAAGAATTGCATAAGATAAGAAGATGTGTATGGCTCATTATCTGGTTCTAATGCAATGGCCACTTTAATGAGATCAGAATCACCAAAGTACTAGAGGAATCTTTTCTGGCTGAATGCACACAAGTCTCAAATACTAGAAGATACGCTGGATGACTGACAGAAAATGTACCCAAGCGAGTCAGCAAACATACATTGATATCTCTACAGATGGCAAAGGAAACTTACCCCAGTTGGTCAACTTGCTACTGAAAGCAACAAATGATTGTCAGCTAAAGAAAAGTGGGCTTTTTCAGTTTTCTGCCTATCCTTCAGCAGAGCCCTCAGATTAGGATTACTCTTTTGTTCAATTATGTACCAAATCCTTTAGATGGCTATCACTTTTATATGCCATGGTTAAAATGTGGTACAAAAGTAACCTGGCTTCTAAAAGTCTACGCCAGGAAGGCCTAAGTCCTGGCAGGTCCTCTTAAGTGTTGAGCACAAGCCTTGAGATGGATTTGCCTAAAGACAAGCCTAACTAAATATGGAAAAGCTCCTGTGAAACTGTCTGCAGGTTATAAAATTTTCAGCTACAGTTAACTCTTGAAGATCTATTAAGTAATAATAGCTAACATTTATATAGTGCTTACTAGATACCAGGCACTGTACTAAGCACTTTACAAATATTATTTTATCCTCACAACTACCCCAAGAGGTAGGTGCTATTATAATTGAGGAAACTGAAGCAAACAGAGGTTAAGTGACTTGTCTAGAGTCACACTGCAAGTAAGTGTCTGAGTTGGGATTTGAGCTCAAGTCTTCTGACTCCAGGCTCCATGCTCTACCCACTGCACCATCTAACTATAAAGGGGTATGATGTTTATAGGTAGCAGAGTATTCATACCTACAAAAACATGGATCACTAAAATACCTATGTATTTAAGAAATGATGGACTTCAAAATAACTTAAGAAAGTTATATTTTGATACAAATTCTAAAAAGGGTTATAAAACACTATTTTCAGAAATCTTTTAGTATTTCATTTGGGGATAAAGACATCAATGTCATTTCTCACTGACAGGTCAAAATTAGTGTAGGAGAATGGGTTCATACCTTTCTTAGGCTAGGTTACATTAAACATAACAATGGTGGCTTTTATTTGTAGCCAACACTCCCTGGTAAAACTGGAAAACAAAGGAATGGATTTAATTTAGGTAGACAATTTGGACCCTGACAATCAGAACACAACTGAGTTTACTGAGAAAAGATACAGATCAGTTAACTTAAAATTTTCAGCTCCTCTGTTAAACATGAAGAATAAAATGGAGTTTTGCTACTGATAGTTGAGAAACATTTAAAAGGTTCTGGAGATAACTAAAACATGTCAATGTGGTTCTGCTGTGATTAATGTCATTACTAGGCCAGCACTGAAACAAAATGGAACTCTGGATCCTCATCCTGAGAGGAGAGGTATTTTGATAAGCTCTAGCTAGACATTAGATTTGGCCTGACTTTGTGAGACTAAGAAACTCAAACTGGACCATGAAAAGGCTATGTGGCCTTAGAACATTGGTCCTAAAGGGACTTGTTTAGATAT